GTACCTCTTAAACTTAATAGGCCCAAAACAAACTTATCATGGGAGTCAGCACACTATGAGACTCTTATAATCTACTGAAAACAGACTACTTGGTTAATAAGTAACCATTATACCCCACAATATGAGGCTGTAATGATAAATGTATTTATAGGAGAGCAATTTCAGCTAAGGGCAGTGGAAGTACAGAGAAAGGGTTGATTAATAGGCTTGGAAAGATTGGGAAGTTTCCATAGAGGCAGAATTATACCCTACTTAAGATAAAAGCTGTCCTCTGAGTGTAAGACTCTATGAAGCAAGTAGGCCATCTAAATCAGAGATTCAGATTTTTGGTGATGTTTCTTACCAAATAAATCTGATAAAATCAATTATCTCTGAGAAATGGAATAGATATTACTTAATTGTTGATAGACTTATGTTATCAGGGGAAGAAAGGTGACAGCACTGTCACTGTATTTCAACTAGATTACCAAATAAGAAGCACATCCAAATATCTTCAAATGTCAGAGAACATAAAACATTTTCAGAAATTTAGTTCTAGATTACACTCTCAGAGTTTGCCTAGGAATTCCTTCCTACAACCTGGTTATTTACTAGGCTTCTGTATGAAACAGTCTCTGACACTCCCCTGCACTTGACTTTTTGACAGCTTTCGATTTCTCTGTCTTTGGCAACATATAAAAGAAATCTATATATGGTAATAATTTATTACACCAAATCAACAAACTAATGAATACAAAAAAGACCAGAGAAGCTTGTCTTAATCCAAATAGTCCTTCAGTTTTTAAATTTTCTAAATAGGATATAAATTAAGCTTTGAAAGGGGGAAAAAAATCACCAATACTGAGAGCCTAGAAAGTAAGCTTGGCAAAAATACTTGGCAAAAATGCATTCAATGAGTTTGTGAAACCCATCACTGATCTTCCTGCTCCCGATCCATCAAACTGAGTACTTTCTCCTTGTTTGATGTTTTGAAGATCTAAGTACAGAAAACATAGTAATATTATTTTTGTTTTACAACAATGGCAATGATGCCTTCTCTTTTCAAAAGTTATCTGCTTTAGTTAAACTGCCAAAAAATGAAGATCGTATATTCCTCAGAGTTTTCAGCACTTTGAAACAAGCTTAAAACATCCCAAATTAAAAATAACAAAATTGTAATTAATGTTTCTTCTGTTCTAAGACATATATGTTTTTATATATCCTGGTGTTTCTGAAAACTGTATATATGTTTTCATGTACACATTTAATGCAGTAATTTCTTTTTTCCCTCCAAGAAGCTGTTTTTAAACCATGTGTGTCATCATTTCCTTTAAAAAAAAAAATTCTACTTTTAAATATAGTAATACAAAACATAATGCTTGAGGCAAGCCAGATTATATGTACTAGATATTTCTAAAAAAAAATTATTTTAGATCTGAAAAGTGTTATATAAAGTACAAATATCTTGGTTCTCAAAAAATCAATTTAAGAAAGAGGGAAAGGGTTGGGCCCATGGCTTAGCGGTTAAGTGCGCGCGCTCCATTACTGGTGGCCCAGGTTTGGATCCCAGGCGCGCACCGACGCACTGCTTGCCCGGCCATGCTGAGCCCGCATCCCACACACAGCAACTAGAGGGATGTGCAACTATGACATACAACTATCTACTGGGGCTTTGGGGAGAAAAAGGGAAAAAAAATGAGGAGGATTGGCAATAGATGTTAGTTCAGGGCCGGTCTTCCTCAGCAAAAAAAGAGGAGGATTGGCATGGATGTTAGCTCAGGGCTGATCTTCATCAAAAAAAAAAAAAAAAAAGAAAGAGAAAGAAGGAAAAACGTAAAACTCCTCCCCATCTTAGGTTCAAATATTCAGAAATTTTACAGCTGTTACCCTGCATTGTTAATTATCTTTATGCATATTTTCTGTGTACAACTAGTCTGTGAGGGTCGAAAGACATCATACACACACACTCACAGGGTGGGGGGGCACAATGAGAGTGTGTATGTGCCTATTATGTACCATTAATTTTCTGTGCGATGTTTTAGAGCTATGACTCCTCAAAAAGTTAGAATTGCATTGGCAATATCAACAAAAAGGAATTCACAATACGATTTAATAAATGCTACAATAAAAGTAAATACAGAGCATTATGGAGGCACATAGGAAAGGCATCTAATCCTTCTTTGCACAAATGTGCCAAGGTGTGCTACCAGGAAGGCTTCTGGGAGGAAATAACACCTGCATTAAGACCTGAAAAAGAAGAAACAGCAATGTCCTTCGAAATACTGATGCGGATTTCTTTTATCTATAATGGTGTAAATAATGAGTTCTGCATGGTAAGTGCTCAATAATACAGGATATAAGGCAGGTATTTTCCCTTTCTTTGGTAGGGGTTTGGGGGGATAGAGAGGAGGGAGGGGCAGGAGGAGAGAAAAGGCCAAGAGTGGGTATAAGAAAGTACAACTGAAAAGACCGAAACAGGATAAATTAACAAATAGAATGAACTCTGGTTCTGACACACCTCAGTTCAAATCTGGAATCCAGCACTTACTAGCTATGTGATCTCGGGCAGGTACCTAACTTTCTAAATCTCAGCTTTCTCATCTATAACCAACCAACTCAAAGGGATATTGTGAAGTGGAAATGGCATAATACATATTTGGTTATTTGTCTAGTTGTCTAATTAGTTTCCTTACTAGACTATAAGCTCCAAAGGACAGAGACTATGAATAATATCTTATGTACCATTGTCTAGCAAGTCCTTGGCAAAATGCCGGGCACACAGTAGATGTTCACTAAGTGTTGACTATCATTAAATACTTTATTATGACAATTTCAACTACAAAAATACCATGATCTCAGAAGAGCATCATAACAAGTTTGACTGTATTCTGAAAGGATCAAAGACTGCTAACTGATTGGTTCCTTACTTCATTATAAAACATTTACAAAATTAATGCTACCCCACCACTAAAAGTCTTATTAATTATAAGGACCATAAAGTCTTCCAAATCTGAACAAAACCAGACATTTAGAAAAACATGCCCTTGGAGATATTACATAGTTAAATCTATACTTCAAGGAGGTGTAAATATAATCTTTTCCTCTCTCTATAAAGAAGTGTTTTTCAACCAAAGGTGATTTTGCCCCCCAGGGAATACGTGACAATGTCTGAAGACATTTTTAGTTATCATAACTGGGGACGGGGGAGCTATGGGCATCTAGTGTGTAGAGGCCACGGATGCTGCTAAATATCCTACAACGCACAGGACAGTTGCCACAATAAAGAATTATCTGGTTCAAAATGTCAATAGTACTGAGGTAGTGGTGGTGGTGGGGGAGTCAGAGAGTAGAGAGGTAGGCAAAGATATAAGATTGCCTAGGGCCGGCCCCGTGGCTTGGTGGTTAAGTGAGCGCGCTCCACTGCTGGCGACCCGGGTTCGGATCCCGGGCTCGCACCGACGCGCTGCTTCTCTGGCCATGCTGAGGCCGCGTCCCACATACAGCAACTAGAAGGATGTGCAGCTATGACACACAACTATCTACTGGGGCTTTGGGGGGAAAAATAAATAAATAAAATCTTTAAAAAAAAAAAAAAAGATTGCCTAAACACTTATAAGTAGGTTAGGTTTAACATTATCAGAGTTCATGTCTATTATTGCAACTTATTCTTTTTTACCAAGCTTTGGATTTTTTAAGAGAGGCTTAGATTTGTTTTTTGTCAAATACACCCCAGATAAAGAGGAAATCTCTCTGAAAATTATTTTAGGTCAATGAAAATATATAAAAGCTTTCAATAGCTTAGAAAAAAAAAATGCATATAAAATGCTTAATTTCAATACTTGCAAATGAAGTTCTAATCTTTATGAGAGTAAGAATGTATAGGCACATCAAGCTGAAGATAAAAAAGACACATATGGCTTACATTTTCTACCATTTTATCAGTATAGTGATATTGAGTGTACAAAGCCGATTTAAATGATGTGTTAATGAATATCTGCATGGTGGTAGGAACATGTGGCACTTTGCCATTTCACTGCCTTATCTTTGGTACTCTGCTATTTCTTTATTAGTGATCTTTACCCCCACATTATTTCTAATCTGCGTTTTACAGCACATGTGCATTAATAACCTATTAAAAATTGTGAGGTGGCACCACACATAGTAATGATATAATTAAATATAACTTATGGCAGTGAAAATTTAAATATTGGTTACTATCAGAAATGGAATCACCAGATAGAAATGGATCTAGATAGTAACAAATCACAAATAGTTGATGTTATTATAATTTTTCTTGAGTTTCTTTTGAAATAACATCCTTCTTTGGCTTCATATTTGAGAAAAGTAGTATCATCAAAATATAATAAAATGGGGCCGGCCCTGTGGCTTGGTGGTTAAGTGCGCGCGCTGCGATGCTGGTGGCCCGGGTTCGGATCCCGGGTGCGCATCGAGGCACCACT